TTCTATCTCCTCGAGCTCGGACTCTAACCTACGAGCTAGATCGGATCCTAGGTTGCTGCTAATAGAGGACGACATGGCAATTATGTTCGAAAGAGAGASGGAARAGACCGACCTACCRAGGGTTCRAGCTGCSTTCAGATCGAACTCCAAGAATTCAAGGAACRTAAGGTATGATCTGAAGGATTGGGGGCATTTATAGCCCGTCGGAGGAACTTCCCCACCGTACACGTGTAATCAACGAGCGGCTGGGATCCTCTCTGAGATCCGAAGYGTCGGAATATTTKAATATTCCGACGATAAATCTTCCGCGACGGTTGTATTTTCYYACGAATAGGAAGTCGCCACGTGTCCAAAGCAAGYCGAATGAACTTCTCTGCCAGGTCGAGATCGGACCAGACAGAGAGGGGGCCAATGTTTGGGGAAGGGAATACTCTGGACACGTGGAAGACCCCTATTGGTGCTCCAAGATGACTCATGAATCATGCCCAGCTCGGAAGGCCGAGATGGCCGCCACCAACGCCGACAAATGCCAAGTGTGAGGGCCGAGGTGAGCCTGGCTCAGGTCCGACCTACCGGGGAGCTCGGTATGGGCCGAGATGCGCAACTGTCTGCGGTGTGATTATCGGGCGTAACCGTCGGTCCCGAGATTACCGGATGTAACCGACGGTCCCGAGATTACCGAATGTAACAGTCGCTAGATTAGCGGGACCACCACCCATAAGTAGGGGACCTCACTCCCCGATCAGGTACGAGGATTTCTGGCTTCGAACTAGACTTAGAATCCGACCTATACTGACTTGATCGTCGGAGTGCTCACCTTTTTGTGCAGGTCCGCCCAAGTCCTTAGGTCGGTCCAGAGGCCGGGTTCGAGCTACAACCAGGAACACACTGTTGTGCAAATCTTTGCATAAACAAGCATGATGGTTGGTCACATGCCCTCTTCTTCTTTCGCGTCCTTGAAACTGGACCTCCTCTTCTTGCCCATGCCCCTCTCTTAAGGGCTCACAACTTTAAGGGTCAGGGTGGGTCTCCTCATAATCTTCACTCGCGAGCGTAGTCACTTGAGCATCACAGTATGTCTATTCGTCATGCTCATTTTTTAGAGTTGAATTTTCGCTACTCTCTTCCTGTTGGTCTTCTGCTCGTAGCGCGACAAGGCACAACATTAAATGTAACGCCCTGCATTCCCTGACTCGTTTATTCTAAGTTTTAAATTGTGCGTTTGGATTTCTCCCTATTTGGATAATTTAAAATATTGGATCTTCTAATTTCGGAGTTCTAATTTTTGATAAATTGGAATTAAAGTTTAATTTCATAAGTTTAAGATAAATGAAGTTTTCGACCTGTGCACGAGTTTTTTAGTTAAATCTTAAATTCACGGTTTTTAGGATTTTCCTAAATTCTACTTTTTGAATTATTATTCTTGGATTTTAGAGTTTAAGTTAAATATTTTATTTCGGGTCGTTGTAGCTTTTATTTTGATTTCTAAAGTATAATTATTGGGCTTATTGTATTGGATCATTATGTTATTTAGTTGGGCCTCATTTAAGAATGAGAGATTGGGCTTTTAGTTTAAAACAAAAAAGGGTAATTAAAACAAAAAGAAAACCCTAAACCTCCTTCCCTTCTCCGTTTCTTCTTCTTCTTCCCTTATCCACCAGCCGCCGCCCGCCAATCCCACCTCAGCTCCAGCGACAACACTTCGTGGCGGCGCATTGTTCCTCCGACGAGTCCCCGACGACGGCAGCAACATGTTGCAATTAACCCAGACGACGACGTTCCTTGATTCATCAGCGTGACGCGTCTCCTACGAGCGTTTCCATCGTCGAGCGGCGGCACGGCGCGGCTTCGTGTTTTCTTGCCAGCTCCGGCGGTCTCGACGGCGGCTTCCCTTCTCCAGCGCTTTTCATTCTCGACGACGACATCACTACGGCAGCGCAATCAAATCTGACGACAGCTTCTTGTTTGCAGCCAGATTCTACGGGTTCTCGGCGTCTCTCCGATATTCTGCAGCATGGACAGCAGCGGATAACACAATGATCTGCTACTCAAGCGTCTTTCGGTGACAATCTGTGTCGGCAGCTCAAGACCCGCGATGGTTCTCGACGAACAGAGCAGTCCGGCGACGTCCTCCATCTGCAACCAACAGCCAGCATGCGTTAGCTCGAGTCCAGTGATCTCGAGCTCAATTTTGTGACGTATTATTCATTCCGGCGACTTTCGACACTTCCCCACTCTTCTTTGAATTCAAATTAGTGCTACCCACCCATCCGACATTGTTTTGGCATTAACCCACACCATGTCGACCTTAGATTTACAAGCTGCAACGCGTTCACCATCATTCAGTGATGTTCAGTGGGTAACAACCTCCTTGAACACCCTTTTTGATTCAATTTTAGTAGTCGAAACTGAGTAGTAACGTGCTGGATTTRTTTTATGTGCCTAGGTTTCGAGCCAACGCAAAGGCTAGGAGCTTGTAGGCATGTGTAAGTAGCACCAAGGGGCGGGTGTGTGCGTTAATAGGTGTTATTGAGATGGTTTCGTGCTTAACTTTGCTATACTTGTGTATCTCATGTATTTAGAATTTGTTGGGCATCATTTGAGGACTTCTAGTTGTTATCGTTGGGTTGCATTCTTGTTGTTTCTTTTGTTCTTTTCTTTTTATATATTAGGAAAATATTTTGTATCATGATTATTGGATATGCCTTGAAAGTTGCTGCTCGGTATGGTTGGAAGTGATTAAGCTTTGATGTTTGAAAGCATGTTTTGAGATTGAAAATGCACGTGATAGTTTTATGTTATTTAGTTTATGTTTGCTTAGTTGGAAGCTACTGAATTATTTTCTTTGTTCTGTACGATGAAGAGCATGCTGGATAATTGTGTTGTGATTAGATGTGTGAATCGCTTGTCGATGCCTTTGAAAGATTGGTTGGGGTGGTCTGAATAGATGAAACGGACTGGTGGTAGCGGTTTGTTATCCTATATTTTGTCTATAGTGATAACGTAACTAGTTGTTTGGTTGTTCGTAGTCGATATTGTGGGTGACTTGGGAATGATGTGATTGAATCTTAGCAGAGGGCCATGATTGGAATTGGACGCCTATCGAGTAATGAAAAGTGAGTAGACGAGTTTCATGCCATCGCGGACAAATGGGTGAGGTTGTTACGTCACTACTGGGTATCGAGGCTCCGGGTACAAAAGGTTGGAGGTCGATAGGCCAGTCTTGGTAGAGATGAGTGTCGAGGCACTGGGTACAAAAGGTCGGGGGTCAGCACGATGAGTCTATCTGATGATTAGTATTGGGTCTTGACATGGTGGCGGTCAAGGACCAATACGCCTAGTAGACGTCGAGGCCTTGTGTACAAATGGTCAAGGGTCAACGCACAGTTCGAGGCCTTGGGTATGAAGGTCAAAGTCGAATGCCAAGCCTCTATAGAGGAGTGTCGGGCCCTTGAGTACAAAAGGTCAAGGGCCGATACGATTTGAAGAGTTATACTTGGAGGACTAACACAGTGTGATGGATAGAAGTAGCTTGAAGGAGCTAGGTGGGTCTTGTGGTCGAAGATACGTGAGTCTTAATATTTTGGGATGCTTGTATGTGTGTATTGATTAATTGTTATGACCTATTGATGCATGATTTCTAGTTTTCGCATTTTGATGATTGATGAGATTACGAACATGCTTGTTTGGTGTATAGTTAGTGAGGGCTACTAGCGACTTTGTGGTCGGGGTTAGTTTCATTGCATGTGTGGATTAATGAGTGTTAATCATTTCTTGATGCATGGATGCCAGTTTAATACTTTGTAGCGAATTTCGTGTGCTAAACATGTTGTTTTTGTGTAGTTAGAGAGGGCTACTTACAGCGTATTCTTAATACTCACCCCCTCTGAAATTATTGTTTTCAGCTGGAGATCAGGTTCACGGTGATGGTGATGGTGCGGGGGAGACTCGAGAAGAAGGACCATAGTTAACTTCCGTTTAGTTTTAACTTGTCTAAAATAGGTCTTTAGGAGTCTTGATGGTTTAGTTTATTTCTCATGTTTTGAGTATCGACTTGTGTAAAGCTCAGGGGGTTGGTATAATGTTTTAGATGACTTTTCTTTTAAGTATGAACTTCTGTAAAGATTATGTCATTGGTTTCATTGAGACGCTTAGGGAGTATGTTTAATGTTGTTGGATTCACTAACTTTTTAAGATTGAAGCATGGATTAATCGTTTTGGTTTGGTGTTATTATCATAGTGGTACAGTGGAATAGTGGTGGTTTTTATTTACTTAGTTGATTTTTATTAACTTGTAGGGTTATGCTTCTGTTGGATAGGTTGTTTGTCTGTCGTTACTTACTTGTTTTGGCTCTGCTTGACTTAAACGGGAAAGTTAGGTGTTGTTTGTCCATGAAGGACAAGTTGTTTAGTCCATTTGAAAAGTAAAGTGTTCACTGGTTTAACTTGAGCAAATTAAAAGTTGAAATTTCTAGGTTGGTTTAGTTGCCTTTATGCCTTGGAAGGAAGTTTGGAGCACGTAGGTTTAGTAATGTTCCCATGTAAGTTATCAAAATTCGGGGGCGTTACATTAAAAGTTAAGTGACTCGTGATAAAAACACACTAGTTTAATCATCACACTTATAATTTATTTACCAAAATAAAAAATTATAATTTAACCAAATAAAACTAAAATGTCTTTTAAGTTTTTCATTGAGTACTACATGTTTTTTATATATATTTAACAAATTGGGTGGGATCCAAAATGGCTTAGTCCGATAAACACTCAATACCTAAAGAATAAAATATAACTTTAAAAGCTATACCATACTAATAACAGAACCAAAATTGAGTATAAAAAGCGAGCATTCATAATGGAGAAAGGTAGAGGCAAGGATTAGCCAACCGATAAAAACAAAAGTGATTAGAGTTTTCAAGGGAGAGTAGTTGTGTCTATGCAAATAGACACAAAGGAAAGTTTCCATTTTTTTAGATAATTAAAAGTCGTTTCCATCAATTTACACTTTCCTTCTGTGTCTATTTGCACAGACACAAAGGGTCAATATGGCTATGTTGAGACTATCGATCTTGTTATGTATGATGTTATGTGGCCCTTCCCTTTCAAGGGCTACTTCTCCTAAGAACATATTCATCCTTGCTGGTTAGAGCAACATGGCTGGCCGAGGTGGGGTTGAGAACGATCGACCAGGCCACCTTGTGTGGGATGGGTATGTCCCACCCGAGGCTCAACTCGACCCATCCCACACAAGGTGGCCTGACATTCATCTATAGAGGCTTGACGTTCGACCTTGCCATTTATCCCCAAAGTTTGAAACTGTGCACCGACCCTTGACATATATCCCCAAGGTATCGACGACTACTCAACGTAACGGTCCTTGACCGCCACCACATCAAGACCCAATACTAAATCAACAAAATAGAATCACCGTGCCGACCCCTGACCCTTTGTACCTAGAGCCTCGACACTCATCTCTACCAAGTTGGGGTATCAATCCCCGACCTTTGCACCTGGAACCTCGATACCCAACTAGTGACGTGCCAGCCTTTTTGGCCCTGTTAGTTCTCCATTTACTTTATTACATCTCGGAATTCTCACCAGAGACCTACATGATTTTCAGCCATGACCCATGCAGAAATTATCTCACAACAATGGAACATATGTTATACACAAAACCTATGTCACTATCATCCAGACATGGCCATCCAACCTCACGAGGACACCCTTCTCTCAACACTCAGCATGCTTTACACACCACAACGCAGATAATTCACAAAAGAGATGTAGCCGACATATATCCATATGCGCATCCAACACTCTAAAAAATTTCATAGTAATCATAACACAACATAACCCATTCACTTCATTAAGGACCAAACTCTCACCAGAGTCATACTATATACTTTCTAGGCCATGACCCATGCAGCACTCAACTCACAATAAAACCAACATGCTTCCAGAACCAAAAACAGTAAGCTAAAAATGAAATGACATGTCCAACATGCATGCGCAACACAACAGATTTCTTCCACATTATTTCCACACTATTTCAGTATGCTTTTATGAACACAACCATTCAACGATAAAACCATTCATAATCCATAATGCTTTCATAAATACCACTAAGCATCAAATCCAACAACACAAGGCAAATTAGTTATAAACAACCAGAACCAACATGATTTCATTCAAACTACTTATAATCATTAGCCAATATTCACAAAGACACAATCAACTTACAAATTAATAAATAATAAACACACTGAAAGCACCAAACAATTCATACGTATTCAAACAACGAACATCCCCCAAGTAAGAACTACCTACACAAGGTCCTAAAGCTCCTAAACTTCACCGAAGGCTCCCTAAATCGAAAGAGACCAAGCTTTGGGTTAGAATCCAACTCAAAAAAACACTTAACTTGCATCGAAACTAAGTTGAGGTCATTTGTTACCTACTAACTCACCCTAAAACCTCATGGGTTCGGAGTGGGTCGATGCCGAGGATGTTCGGGCTCCCAAAACGAAAATCGATGGCCTTAGGCTTGCTGTCCCGATGCCTAAAACTGATGGGTAACACAGATTTGGGTCCGATTACAGGTGGGTCAATGTCGAACCAATACCGAAAAGAGTGGGTATCATGAATCAAACTCTGGTTATGTGTCGGCAATTGTCTAACGTTGCCGGAAAGGAGCAAACGCCACAAATCGGAGTTGTTCGTGGTCATTGGAACACACACGGCCGTGGGTCGCCGGAGAAGTAGAAACGCCGAAACAGAACCACCAGAACCACCGTAATCCGCCGCTACCCGAGAGGAGAACGATGCCGTGGTGGGTTGGGTCACGCGGATCTACTGCTGCAGCTGCTGGTTTGAGGAGACGATGTCGCTGCTGATTTGGCGAGATGCCGCCACTGTTTGGGGAGATGCCGTCGCTGGGTTTCTTGTTCGTTGGAGCGGCACCGAAGAGACGCCGCACGCCATATGTGGAGGTCGTGCCTCGCGGCTTTCGCTGCTGAGAGCGTCGTCGGGTCAAGATCTGCTCGTGCTGCGCCGCTGTCGATCCGAGAATGCTGTCACTCGCCGAGGCCACCAATGACGCTGCAGTCACCGGAGGAGGAGAGGTGTTGGCGGTGGAAATGAAAACCAGAGGGGGAAGGTGACGGCTCAACAAGGGGAGGAAGGAGAAGAAGAAAGGACAAAAATAAAAGATTTAGGGTTTTCTTTTTCTTTGAATTTGTATTAATTCCTTTTTCTTTAATTTGTTTTAACACCTATAGCCCAAACCCCAATTCTTAACAGAGGCCCAAATAGATAACACAATGGCCCAAAACAACAAGCCCAAGATGTCACTTTAGAAATCAAATAAAACCCACAACAACCCGAAATAAAATATTTAACTTAAACTCTAAAACCCAAGAATAATAATCCAAAAAAAGTAGAATTTAGGGAAAAATCCTAAAAATCGTGAATTTAAGATTTAATTAAAAATTTCGTGCACAGGTCGAGAACTTAAATTATCTTATTCCAATGAAATTAAACTTAATTCTAATTTAGCAAAAAATTAGAATTTAAAAATTAGGAAGTCCAAAAATTAAAGTTATCAGCTTAGGGAAAAATCCAAAGACATTATTTATCTCTTAAAAAAAACGAGTCAAAGAACGCGGGACGTTACATACACTGTATATCAAATATATACATTGTATATTAAATATATATTGTATATCTTCTATATACTGTTCCAATTACATGACATAACCTCGGATGTTAGTTTATTGGATCTTGGTTTATGCAATGCTAAATGAAACACCATTAACAACTTTATTGAATAATTATTTGTTTTATGTTTACAAACCACGAGTTTAAGGCATAAAACCCAACAAACTCCCACTTGAACTACACTTTAGTGGGGTGTACAAAATCTAAATGCAACAATAGGTTCTACAATAAAGTACAAATACAATAAACTAGGGCATACATTATATCCTTTACAAGTCTCCCAGTTGCCCTAGACTATATTGTACATATCTTGTAGGCCTAGACTTTCTAGACGACCCTCAAACACTTTAGCCGTGACAGACTTTTGTAAATAAATCACCACTATTATGCTCAAACACCACTATTATAACAATAAAGGGTGATGGGTAAATTCAAGTTTGGAAGAACTTCCAATTCAGTTAAGAACTTCCTAAGCCATACAGTCTCTTTTGTTGCTTCACAAGCGGCAACGTACTCGACCTCCATTGTCGAGTCTACGATGCATCCATGTTTGATGCTTCGCCATACTACAACTCCTCCATTAAGAGTGAACACCGATCTCGAAGTGGATTTCCTAGAATAATTATCACTTTGGAAATCAGGGTCAGTGTATCTTGTAAGGATCAAATCCTTAGTGCCATACACAAGCATATAGTTCATCATTCTCCTAAGATACTTGAGGATTCCCTTAACGACAGTCCAGTGATCATATCCCGTATTGAATTGATAAATACTGACAATCCCTATTGCATAGCAAATGACAGACCTAGTACATAACATGGCATACATCAGGTTGCCCACTATCTCATATCCTCAACTTCTTGAGGTGTCTTAGGACATTGTTCCTTAGACAGATACATTCCATGTCTGAATGGTGGTAAACCTTTCTTGGAATTGTGCATCAAATATTTGACAAGCATTTTGTCGATATAAATTGCCTGAGACAGGGCTAGCATTTTGTTATTTCGATTCTTCATGATTTGAATCCCAAGAACAAACTGAGTATCTCCCAAATCTTTCAATTGGAATTCAGTTGCTAGCTACTTCTTAATCACAGTTAGGAAACCTACATCATTCCCAATGAGTAGGATATCATCCACATATAACACCAAGAAGGCTATAGTGTTGTTGATGATCTTCTTGTATACACAAGGCTCATCAACATTCTGGTCAAACCCATAAGACTTGATTACAGTATCAAATTTCATATTCCAAGACCGAGATGCTTGTTTTCATCCATAAATGGATCGTTTAAGCTCGCAAACCTTTTGCTGAGACCTTGCTTAATGAACCCATATGGTTGAGACATGTAAATACTCTCTTTAAGATTGCCATTCAGAAAAGTAATCTTGAAATCCATTTGCCAAATTTCACGGTCATAAAATGTGGCAATGGACAGTAGTATTTTGATAGACTTTAGCATGGCAACCGGGGAGAAGGTTTCTTTATAGTCCACCCCTTCCGTTTGGGTGTAACCCTTT